GCATCGTAGTATAAGCAAAAGGAAAAACAACTGCTGAACGAAATTGAGACAAAAAAAAATTTAATACACATCTTAGATGCTACTAAACCACAAGTACAAATTGTTCAAATGACATTTCCCACTCAAACACGTCGTACCCAGCAGGTAAAGGAAGCACGGCGAGTGAGGCGATGGAGGCATAGATTACGTCCCCAAAAAAGACTACTGGTTATCTGGCCTCCCCGCTGCGCGCAAAGAGAAAAGATATATATATATATATATATATTAACGATCACAATCAAATAATCCCAATGAAGAAGATTTCATATTGTATAACGATCACACCTTGAATACTCTTAGCCGTTGTTGTCGTTTTTTTGTTTGTGATGATCATCTTCTCCACTTCTTTTGTTTTCATATAACACACACATTCATTTTATTTTATTTGCCTTCTACCTGGGTTGACGCGGCTGTGGTTCCTCTCCACGCCCGCAGTTCCCTCAACCAGACACATCCACCCCCAAGATAAGGGTATGTGTGTGTATGCATATATGTGTATGTGTATATACATATATATGCTACTGTAGATCAAACTTCAAATTAGAATAACAAATATGTAGAGAGCCCAGTGCAGTGGCAGCAACAAGAGGAGTTATGACGAAGAAAAGATGGTGTTCTTTTTATCTTTTTTCTCACTTTTTTTTTTGTCCCACAGAACGCTCTGCCATTAGCGCTCCACGTTTTTCCTTTCCTTTTTCGTTATTGCCTTCCGCAGCATCGAGCGCAGGGCACCAGACTGGGCGATTTCAAACACCGTGCCGCGCTGTGGGTGCCTGTGAGTAAAGCTTTCCGCCGTCACAGTGGATGGCAATTCACAGAACCAACGCACAATGTCCCTGCGATCGTGCAGCACCGCCTGCATGAGAGCGTTCGTCCCATCACTCTGTACCCGATTGAGGTTCGGCACAAGGCCCAGAGACCAAAGAGCCTCAGCAAGTTCCAAATTTCCAGTGGCGCACGTGTTGGAAAATACCGTTCCCCCTCCATCCCCCTCAACCTGCCAAAAGTCAACCTTCACATTCCCATCATTTTTGATGCGGAAGAGAAGGTTTTCCACCTCTGTTGGTAACGTGTTTGAGGCGTGCGTGCGGAGCACGGCCTCCAGAGCAACCTGGAACAGCGGTGCAACCTTGCTTTTAATGCTTGGCGAGGAGACATGCTGAAATGAGTCCAGCAAAATGTGAAGCGATTCCACGCCTGCCGAGGAAGTGTCTTCCTCAAACGAGCGCAGCAAATTATCCCAATGAATATACTTCATCACCTGAACACAGCTGGGCGAGAGAATGACAGAAAGCATCTCAGTATAGCCGTGAACCACGCAAAACACTGGTAGTTCATTCAGCAAAATTGTATCAAATATCTCTGGGGCGTCAAGTAAGTCTAGTATGGTCTTAATGAGTGACACATTCCCGGCGGATATCGGGTTGGATTCGCGGTCGCCGGTCTCAACAATCTTGGAAATAACCTTGCAGCAGAGTTCAAGACATCCGAAACTCTTCTGTTTCAAATGGTTCGTGTTGATTTTATAAAACTCTCTCAAACGCTCCTCCACCACATGCTTTTGCTTTTGAAGTTGCTTGACCTTCGTCACATGAAGACCTTGGTCGAGTAATGGAGAGTTCAGGGTCCGATGCAGCGTCCGTAGCGCACGGAGCAGCACTTCCTCCTCTAACGAGACAACCTTGGGGTCTGCATATGAATTCGACGCCTCACCCAATTCGTCTACCAAAGACATTTGGTTGGCATGAGCCGCTGTTGCAAGCGTAGGCAACCGACCACGCAGCGTTTCTGATGTGTCTTTTGCTCCAGGGATACTCGTTGCACATCCCCCACGTGAATTGACTCTTTCATCCGTCCCCGGCGGCAAGCTCTTCACAGGATTCATCTGATACTCCCCCTCCACAGTGGTGAGAGGGGCGTCCGAGGAAAAAGACAGATATTCCCGGGCATGGGCGCGTGGTGGCGCTTCTTGGGGCACCCGCTGCGACGTCATGCAACCGGAAGAAGGTGCAAACATGTTGTCCTGGTTGTTTCTGGTCCACTTTGCATCATCACCCATTGAATTCCCTTTCAGAGAGGCGTTGGATTCCCGCCGACGCCTCACACCGGACGAGACCATGTCGTTCAGCTTTACCTCCCCACCCCTTGTGTTCCCCTGCCGCTCCTTCCTCAAGACACCCTGGATAGTGGGCCCGTCACTTTGCTTACTCATCGTTGGCTGCACACAATTGGAGCCTCGGGTGTCTTTGGTGTCAAAATGCTCGTCCGACGTCCCCTTCGTTTCCAGCCTGACGTTCTCTGCTACATGGTCGTTCCCGCCCCCAGACGCTGCTCTGGGATTGTCGGTGAGGAGGCCGTTGAAATCAGACCTGTGGTTGTTCTTTGTAGCCTTAGCGGGGTGGTGTTGCGCATCATCCTGCAGTTTTCCCTCACCAAGCAATACATTGCCAAAGGGCTTTCGAAGTGTGGAAAGGAACTCCAGCACACCGTGCCGACGGCGTTCTGTCACTTTTGTCTCACGCGTTAAGCATTCGATGGGCTCAGTTGCGATACGGTCGTAAACCTCAATTAAGGGAAAAATGCGGTAGTTGTCCTCGTCAATCTGGTAATCCAGCAGGTGTTTTGTACGGAGATCGGAGTGTGTCTTGTAGTATAGCAGAGATAGAAGGCGGACATGGATGAATTGAGTCCTCTTTCCCTCAATGTAGGGGGAGATGGACTGCTTGCGGCACGCCTTGTGACACCGCAGGCGCCAAAAAAGATTTCCACTGGTATTTCCCTCATTGGGTTGTCGCACCGGCTGAAAGAAAAAAAAGGCAATAAACATAATTGGTTCAACAGCAAAGAGGGCAATGTGTGGCACCAGTAGGAGCAGAGTCAACACGGTGTCGACAACAAGAAGTGTTAGCCATTTCCATACGCTATCCTTCGGCTCATCCAAGGAGGGAATAAACCACACCCGCGAGGTGAAGGGCATCAGGAAAAACGTCAGTAGGAGGTACAACAGGATCGTGTACCAGTGGGATGCAAAAAGGAAGTTGTTTCCAGCAATAGTGAGCTGAATCGCATTGAAGGCGTTCACCAAGGCTATCCCACGCATACAAAAGAGAAAGCGATTCATACGAGCGTCCTGGAAGAAGAGATCCAGCATAATTGTTCGCACCAAGTTTCGCGATGACACAGTGGCCAGCACAGCATACACAATAATAAACACGGCGTAGCAAAGCGGAAACACAGAGGGAAGATGCAGCCGCACTGACAACTCCTTCATAGTCTCTGAAGGCGCAACCCACGTGGGAATGTTCACGATCACTGTGAGGATGAGCACTACAAAGTTGAGAACAAGCAGCAGCAGCACAATGAGCATTCGTTTTGTCCACAAACGTTCTGAGCAGGGGGCGTAACGCACAGGCACCAAGGTCCGGTAGTTGAATACATAAACCCCTTCTTTAGCAACAATCTGGCGGTAGACCTTAATAATCTCACGTGAGTGGGGAAAAGTTTGCAGCGCCTTGGTCGCGTTGTCGACGGCTTCCGGGATGTGATGCGTCGCGTACAAGGCGAGCGTCAGACAGTTTTGCGCCAGCGCACAGCGTGGGTAACGCCACGCCAAACAAATGGCCCGGCTAATGAAGTTTTCCGCCCGACTCATCGTTGCATCCAGCGAGAGTGCAACACTGCCTAAACGGACGTTTGGATGAAACTGACGCAAACGCCGTGACCACTCCGCACATTTGCGCAGCACTTCCTCGCAGAGCGTCGGCCCTTCCTTGAGGAGCACATTGGCGGTGTCACTGTCCCAGCCCAGTGAGGTGGTGTCATCCCCGAGTGTCATGACCTCTAGCACAGTCTGAAGCAGCACAAAGCCGAGATGACAGCCAAAGTAGTACGTTTTCAGTGGCGAGCAGTCGGTAAAGGCTAATTCCACAGAACCAACAATTTCCTCCGCACAACCCACGGCCAAGCAAGCGTTGTTCCACGCCTCAATGTATTTGCCCCGTGCAAAAAAGTAATGCGAACGATTCAGGTGAAACGGCAACATTTGCCGCACGGAAGCGCACGTCGGAAGATGAGTTGGGTATAATAAACGACTTGCAGGTGTGTTTGGTCGCAGCTTCGCCCCTTCGCTGCCAAGACCGCCAAAAAATGCCGGACAGAGAGATATATACAGCTGCCGATGAGGCGACAATGATATTTTCAAAAGAGTGGCGGAATCCTCTAGGGCAGTGCAAGCAATCGTCATCAGATTCAGCATCCAGTCACCCACATCGTGGTTTGATGCCGCACTGATGGCGCAGCGTAGCACTTTCAGAGCTGCCTCCATGCATCCAAGCTGCACAAGCGTCAGAGCATGCACATATTCACACAATGCAAAAACGTAGTCTTGCAGTTGAGTCTCCCCCTCATACGAGGTTACCATTTTCACCGCCTGTGAAAGTGGCATGAGGAAGGCCGAAATACTGGCGCCCACCGTGGAGATGAAGTAATTTTCATCTCTCAGAAGGTCAAGGGCATCCTTGGCCGCAATGGTGCGCTCCCCCAGTTCAATCAGAGACATGCAACGAAGAAAGCGGGTCATGACCCGCATGTTTTCATCCGTAATACTGAAATTAAACTCCTCCACCGAGAGAAACCGGGTCGCAGCCGCAATAGCACTGCGATAGCGTTGTGTCTTCCAAGCCGTGATGGTTGTAATGAGGTCAACATCGCTCTCGTCGCACTGCGAAAGCAGAAAATATTCCAGCTCATTATGACTAAACTGTTCCGGCAGAATTTTTTGCCGTTGCCGTTGCCGTTGCCGCTTCCGAGAATAAGGTTGGCTTTGGTCCGCCATCACAACCTTGGGGGTTCCCTCCGTGAACAATGCAAAGAAAAAGTGGAACCACAGGACGCTTGGGGGTTTGTACTCGCCCTCTTCATGGAGAAAAAGAGATATAATAAACCATTGGTGAATTGTGTCCCAGTCCAGAGATGCTATGGCGTCCAACACGGCTGCGTAGTACTCCTCCTCATCCCGTGCTTGTGCGCTTGCCCCCATTACTTCCTCTGCCGCGGTTGGCCCGTCCATCCAGCCCATGATGAGTTGGTTCAGCCGCTGCATGTAATCCCCCGCGGGTTCGACTGGATACAAACGCTTTTCGTGCGCCACCACGCAGGATGCTATGATGTATGCTTCCAGCAGCTTCAGAGCCATGGACGTGTTCCCACACATCGTGAGTGAAGCGGCTAGACAGACAATATCCTTCTTTGCCCTACTTAGGCGTTGCGCCTCCCCAAAGCAACCCACTGAGAGGCAGCGCCAGGCCTGCGGGAGATGCGTGTGATGCTCATAAGGAGCCGCCGCAATATTATTCTGCACGTTTTCATCGATGTGGGCGGAATTCGTGTTACAATGTCCACCGGGGGGCACATGGTTCGCCACGTTGTCTTGCATTCTCAGCTGCCTCTCCGCTCCTTCAGTTCAGTCAGGAGCGTAAGTCTCCTCCTCCTCCTCCTCTTTTCCTAACCGTCTCTAACCTCGCAGCGCTCTCTCTTCCTGAGTACGTGCAAGCAGACACACACGCACACACACACACACACAAAAGCGTTTCTTCCAGACGGGGTGCAGCTCGCAAGATCAAGTGAGAGAAGAAGACATCATCACCACAAGATACAACGAGGAGAGTGGCCACGCAGACGGAGATAACCAACAGGGAAAAAAGGCGAATAAGAAATAAACAGCAGCAACAACAAAAAAAAAAGAGGAGTGAAGTGAGGATCAAAAGAAGACCCATATATTTTGAAGTAAACGCAAAGAGGGAAGGAGAGGAAGTAAATAGCAACGAATACGAGACCAAAGCAGACGTGTATCAACGCACCACCCAAAAAGAAACAGCCGTCTCCCTCCCTCAATCAACCAACCATGCAACCTACAAGAGAGGGCAGAAGCAAGCAAGTGAGTGTGTGTGTGTGGACGGGTAATGCACTCACACAGGCAAATCTGGAACCATCACCTAACAACGGCAAACAGCAAAAAAGCAACAACAACAACTAGATATAGTTCAAGACTGCAGCCAGCTCCTTCTGAACCAAGTCATATTCCCCGCACACGGCACGCACCTCTGGATGAATTTGGTCATGATGACCCACAGCTGCCTTGAGAAACGACTGCGCGGCGTTAACACCGTCACGGAAGAACAAACGACGCGCCGACCAACAAACATCCGACGATGAGAGCATGGCTAAGCCCGAACTCCCTCGACGTGCAAGCGAGAGCGTTTCCTCAAGAGGCCGGACAACTTCCCCGTTGTGATCCACGGTGACGCGCGGGACGCTCGTCGTCAACTCCCACTGCCTCTCGCGCAGCAGAAGAGATTCGCCTGTCGACATCACGCGCCGAAGTGCCGTGCTGCAGTACGGCAGAAGTGCATGTGAAAGCGAGGGGCACGAAGCCACGTGTGCAAAGGCATCATCAAAAAGCGGCGCAAGGAGGGCACGCCACTCCGGGCAGTGCGAGTCGCCGGTGTCGTTCTCGTCCGCGAGTGGCGCAAAAAATGCCGCAGCCGTGAAACACGCCGAAACGGCGCCCCGTTGCCCCATAACAGTCAGGGCGTGTCGCAGCATCACCAGCAGCCCATGAAGCTCCGAGAGATACGGCAGCAACGTGACAGAAGCGGACGTCACAGAAACAGACGCCAAAACATCCGCCAGCGCCCGAAAAACGGACAGCAGCGCCGCATAACTTCCCCCCTTACCGTTTTGAGAAGCGACCGATACGCCACGGCTGTTATTTATGCCTTCCAGCAGAGACTGGATAATTTCATGCGTCACACGACGAAGAGGAAAAGTTGAATCCACTGCTCCTGCCTGAAGCCAAAGGTCAAGAGAAGACTCGAGTGCCGCCTCCATCGACATCTGCACTGCGTCATCCGCAGCAAAAATAGAGGGGATACTCTGCACCACAACTCCTTCCTCCCCTCCAAGGGCATCCCTGGCAGTATATCCTGCGGAAGATGCGCTTGGGATTTCATTACACGCCGTAGCAAACGAAACCAACCCCGTAAAGTAGATGATATGCAGCACGTGCGAGGGTGCACACGTGGAGGTCAACGAAGCCATCGTGGGAAGAGAAAAAAGTCCTGTGCGCACCTCATCCATATTTTCTTCTTCACAGCGACCAGAACGATAATACAATGAGAGAGACATCCGAGTGGTTCCAAACACGTCTCGTGAGGGTTCGTAGGAGAAAAAGGAAAACGCCCCGTCGTCCGACGCAAGGCATGACGCATGGCACGGATCCAAGTAGATTCGCAGCGGTGCATGGTGTCCCGTCAACGGAAGGAAAAACAGCATCGCCTTCATGCCGTCACGCTGCTTAGAAACCCCGAGGAGGAGAAACCCACACAAGGAACCAGCAACCCAGCTGACGTCGCACATAGTCACACTGGAAGGTGTGCCTACGGAGGTGGATGCACACGCAGCAGTGGAAAACGCCTTGGCGTTAGAGCCAAGAGCCACCAACCACACCTTGTGCTCGTTCGGTAGAACGACGCAAAGTAGAGCCCCATTCGGGCTCACAGAGACGATTGGAATAGCTGACAAAAACTGCCGCACGTGCGTCGTCAGGTTTCCCTCCAAAGATGCTTCGGGGGTGTTCGCCTCATCCATGGCGCGCGCAAAGAAGGGGGTTGTCCGCCAGCGCTGCATCACCCCAAGAGGCACGTGTGCGTCGTCGCGAAATTTATTCTGGCGAAGACTCCCCAACCAGACGCAGGTGGCATGCACACCCGCCGTGTCGTCACCCAAACTCACCTGAAACACCATTGTTGCCCCATCGTCGGTGAGTACCATCACCTCCGCGAGGATGACCTGTGAAGTGGAGGCCACAAGGCACAGCGGCCTCCGCACAGAGGCCCAGAGAATACACTGGTTACATCCTACCATGGACGCCGCTGCAGGCACAGTCCCTGAAGAAGACATGGATGCAATCAGAGGTGTTGTCCGAAGCGACGGTGTGCGTTGCTGATTGCCATCTATGCGAAGCGAGTAGCATTGGATCCTTCCACCAGGTCCAGAGACATGGGAAGCAAGTAAGAAGACCGCTCCACCGCAGCGGCTCACCAGTACATGTCGAGCATCCTCTGGTGCTGGCAAAAACAATGTAGTGTAGCAAATGACAACTTTATTCCCCTTCACACGCAGTACTGGTCGAAGAATGAGCAGATTTACTTCTATCCTTGAGGCACAAAGAAGCATGGCAACCGTTGGCAGATGCTGCGCCGCAGCGCATGTTCTTTCTCCTGGCTCCACCGTCACGCTGCTGCACTCACTAAATGCGGAATCCATCACTTGCGTGGGTTGGATCGGGTATTCGAACACGGAGGCTGCAGGAGAACAGGCAAAACGAAAAAAATAAGGTGCCTTCTTTTTTTCCCGCGCCCCGGGAAGACGAAGGCGCGAAGAAACATCATGCGCACTGTGAAAAACAAGATCCAACTTTCTCGTCACTGTGCAGCATCCCCAGTTGAAAACACAAGAAGCTGGGTTGGGGTGTGTAGCAAACGCGATGCATTCCTCGCGCGCCTGTATGCGGGTCGGCACACGCTCTACGCGAAGAGGTTCAAACATGCAATATTGCCGTTATGTAAACGTAGGTGCAATGTCCTCGTCCAGGCGAAACGGTGACGGAATAGACTCTATATTGGGCCTAATATATATATATATATGGACGTATCTATGTAAATAATAAGTAATAATAACAATTACCGTCTATGTATTTAGTGTGTGCACCAGCCAATACCGGTCCTCAGTCTATGAGAGAACCCTGTACGGTCCTTGCCCCTCACGATGTTTGTGGCTCACAAGAAACGTGTGCGGTTCCAAAGTAAGTGTTGCTTGCGGCTATCCACAAAGACTCTCCGAACACGCCCAACACCGCAACACAGCAACTGCGGAAGAAAGACAAACGAGAAGATTGAAAGGACTAAAATAATTAAAATGAGGCATCGTCGCAGTACAATGGGGCCTGTGCAAGGACAAGTTGCACAACAACGTGAGAGGAGGGCAGATAAAGACACACATATATATATAATTCAGAATTTGCGCTGTGACTTTAAGGGGCGATATGCAAAAGTCATTGACACGTAAATAACACCGTCTTTTTTGTTTTGTTGTTGTTGTTTCGTACGCGTGCCAGTGTGTATGCGTGGCACCTCAAACAGTAACAACTACATCCACCACACACACACAACAAAAAAAAAAAACAATACAAAGACAAAATAAACGTAAATAAAACGGGGGAAGGAAAAAAAAAAAACAGCCTTCTCTATGTTTCTGTCAGTGGCAGAAAGACTTCAAAGAACTCCTTCATGGATGCTATCGACATTACGGTAAAGATCCGTCTCGTGTGTATTATCTTCCGCAGTTCTCCTTCATCTTGCGTTCCTGCTACCACTGCCCTCAATAGCCGGCCCCACGTGACGTGCAACTCACGAAACACCACCACCAGTCCTACCGCCGCCGCCGCCGCTCCCGATGTCAATGGTGCCGTCCCTCTCCTTTACTGAACGGTCGTAGAAGCATGCATTGGCAGGGATCGGCTCATCGAGGGAGGGCGCAGTGTAGATACGCTTATCAACTAAGTAGGAGACAACGTCCTCGTCGACGCCGTGCGCCGCCACAAACACATACACCGCTGCACTCGGGTGTTGAAACAATGAGAGCTCCACCGTGTCTTCAGTAACGGGGCGAAGAAATACAGCGACGGTGGTGAGTCCACGAGGCTCCTCCTCACTCATAACCTCCTGCATAACGTCATCCACGCGCTCTATGGACAGGGATGACGGCACAGACACCAAATCTGACGCCGGAACTTGAGCAGGCACAATCACACGTCTACAGTTATATCGAGAGGCGGCAATCAACAGCACATTGATCTCCCTTGCAGTGGGAGTTCCCATCAAGGCGGCTACAATATCCCCTCGAAGCGCGTAAGGTGCAACATTGAAAGGTTGCAGATGTAATCGTTCAGTCGGGGGCGAAAAACGCGTCCCGTTCACACCAAATCCCTGCATTGACTTCAATGCGTCCTCGTCCACCAGTGGAATTGGTGACAGATCCCGCGAGGTAGGCACAGTGTTAGGACTCGTAGGGTCTTCCGAGGGAGACTGCGCGCCGGAAGTGTCCTTCTTCAAAAAAGGCCGCACACTCACCGCCGCAGGCGGTACCGCTTGCTCAGCCGCATGTCCGTTTGTATAAACTTTCACGGGGTGCTCAAGCGTCTCCTCTGCAAAAATGCTGCTTTCCTCCGCCACAATAACGTCTGGAAACTCGGAACTACGCAAAAATGAAACCTTTTCAGCTTCGTCGACGCTCAAGGGAGGGAACTCCTCCTCCTCAGCCAGGCGCGCCTGTCGCCGGGCAACAGAACAGCGAGCAACAGAGATGGCGAAGAAGGAAAGCAACGGAAGGAAAATCACAAGCGGCACCATCGGGCCCGAAATCACATGCGTCGTTTGAGAAATGATCTCATTCTTAGCACTCTCCAGGCTTCCAAGGGCCCTGGCCCAGCGAGCTTTTTGCAAATCAGCGAGGGCAGGGACGCCACAGGCGCATAGTGCTTTTTTGACTAAACCTTCAACCACCAACGGGAGTGCAAGACGCGCCTGCTGCATCCATTCCGGGACATTCGGGTAACCATCTGGCAGGCCATGCAAATCATGCAATAGAGATGGTTTGTGCCGCACTTGCCGCTGAGTCGCAGCCACTGTAATGGCATGAACAACACGACACATGGTGCCAATACCGCCCGACCCAGTGAGTACAGCAGAAAAGAAAAAAAGTGGTCGATTCAGAAATGAAAAAACCGATCTCACCTTGCGAGCGGCGCTGCTCTCCAGGTAAAAACTTGCAAATGTGGAGCTTAACTCATCCGAACGCGGGGACTGCGGAAAGGAGGAGTCATTGTAGGTTTGGCTGTCATAAGTTCGGGTGTCGTAGGTGCGAGAGTTGTATGTCCTGCTATCGTACCCAGTGGCGTAATCATCATCGTAGTGGGTTTGATCCTCATCCAAGAAAGATCCTGCAGGAAGTTCTGACTCAGATAGCGTACGATGTGAGGTTATTAATGAAGTTTGCTCATACGTGCGGTCACCATCGCCCGTTTGGCCTTCATTCATCGTGTCTGAAAAAGCGGAGGAGGTGTTGTGACCCGACGTGTCCATAAGACTGCTCATCGCCTCTTCGGCGAACAACGTACTAGTTGCAGTTAATAATACAAAGCGTTTCCCTGCGTCTTCTTCCTATATGCGTATATATGTATATATGTATATGTAGACGTACGTCTATTACTGCTTTACTGGTTTCTATTTGTTTTTGTATCGTATTTTGTTTCTTTATCTTCTCCCCGTGATGGGCGCTCACGGAGACCCCCCACAGCCACCTCGCCTTCTCTCTCTCCCTCTGCCTCTGTCTCTGTGTCTATCACCTCCTGTATCGCCAGGGGAGTGTATGTGTATGGACACTACTTTACAGTTACACGCTCCACCTCTTAATCGGAGCACTCACTCCTCCCTGGATGGTTGTTTGTTTTTGTCCATTTGATGCGTGTGGAAGGCGGTGGGCCAGCGAGGCACACACGCACATAAAAAAACAAAAAAAAATAAGAAAAAAAAATGCGATGGGCAAAACAAAAACAAAAAAAAATGAGAATGAAAAGTAAAGCTAAAGAAAAGGGAGAGGTGGAGGACGTCTCACGCACGTCAAAGTAACAACATCACTTCCTCAAAGAGAGGCCTTGCAGGCATAAGCGCAGACAACGCGTCTGAGTTCACTCCCAACAAAAGGGAGGGAAAAACACAACCCTCCACCACATACACGGTGTAGATTCATATGGAGCTTGTCATTCCGCACATATATATTTTGTAGTTTTTTTGTTAGGGGCAATCTTCGCCCTTTTCTTTTTTTCTTTTTTTTTGTTCACGGACAACACGCTGCTTTCCGCGCGCCGCACCCCGTCTAGGGCAGAAAACTGCTTGTCTCCTGCTCCCGCATAGATTCCTCACACCCAAGTCAACAGCTCTCTTTTTTTCTCCGTTTTCCCTTTTGTTTGATGTTTCCCCGCCACGCCCTCCCTCATGTGCGTCCTCCCGCCTGGTGTACGGCGCGACGTTAGTTCCCCCAGCTGGGCGAGCGCGAGCGGCTGTGGCGCCTTGGCCTCGAGGATGTGCGTCTCCGCTTCCGCCACCGCCGCCGCTGCGATGTGGTGGAGAGGCGTCTTCGACGTGGAGCCGATGAAGACGATGAGGAAGAGGAAGAGGAGCGTGAGTGGCGTCTGCGTCTCCGCGAGGGCGAAGATAAACGCGAGGGGGAGCTCGACGGAGAACGCCGCGGGGAGCGGCGCCTATCCTGCCGTCCCGTCTGCCGCTCGTCCTCGGGATGGTGACGCCGATGATCTGGCAGTGCGCTTTCCCTTTGCCGCCACCCGTCGCCAGACTCCCCGCGTGGCCGACGCACCCGGGAGTCCCTACGTTCCAGCGGCCGTGGCGCCCTGTCCACCGCCCCCCTGTTGTAGCCGCTGCTGTCATGCCCAGCACCGTCACCAAGCTTAGCAAAAGACACGTTGATGCGGTTGCCATCCATAACAGTGCCGTGAAGATGGACGTAGACAAGCTTGGTGTCCTCCAGCGTGTCGCCAGCGACCTCCGCCCTGCCTGTGGGGCAGGATAGCCAAAGCACGGGGGAGGGCATCGTCACCCGCCGCACCTTCGCGAAGGGTTCAATGAGCTCGCGTATGTGAGCCTCCGTGACGCTAGTGGGCAAGTTGGACAGGCGGGCCACTACATCCACTGCCATTGATCTGGGCACTTCTCTTTTATAAATTTTATTTATGTTTAGTTGTTATGCCGACACGGCGACGACAAGGGTCACATAATGTAAGAATGACAGCAGGGAAAAGATATTGCCGCAGGCCAAAACAAAAACACGTCGATACGCAGGCCCAAATCAATTCACATGCATGCAAGCAAACGAGAGAGAGAGAGAGAGAGAGAGAGAATGATGGAAAGAAACACGCACACGTATGGCTCGCGTGATCGGCAAGCGAATGCAGCAGCGAAGGGAGACAACAACCCCACAAATGGGTTGCCGGCTTGATTGGCTGCCTGTTGTTTCCCCCTCCCCCTCCCATTCAGAAGACGCCATCAAGTACAAAAAGAAAAAAAAGAAAATTTTTTCCCACCCCATCCGCCTGCTGTGCCGCACAATCCACCATGAACTCATTGAAAGCACTCCTGTGTCTTCGACAAAAGCTCTTGGTAGACCTCGGCGGAACGTATCTGCGGAAGAAGCACAAGCAAACCGCCCACAAAATGGCCCTGTGAACGGCATCCTATCAACGTGAGCATGCAACAACCATCGAGCGTCTGCACCACAGTGGCGTCGTGGTACTGAAGACTTATGTACGCAGGGACGCCCAGCTGCAACTGTTCCAAATTTTGAAAGCAGCGCGCCCCACTGAGCACCACGTTACTCTCAACGGTGAGTTCATCATCGCCGCCGTACGCGACATCGTGGGGTGCACCCTCCTGTCCCTCCAGCAGTTTGGGGGTCCCAAAGCAGGCCATGATGGTATTCCCCTGACGGTCCGACACAACCACCTGCGTGAGAAGGCGCAAGTTAACGAGCTGATTAAAGTACTGCTCCACCGCCGTTAAAGGCCCCTCCATGTCTTTCCTTGGTGTGTGTGCTTTTGTGGGTGGTGGTCGTCTTCGCACTCGCGCTACAGACGTATTTTATTATTATTATTATTATTTTTGTGTGGAGGATGAGGAAGAGAAGCAAGCAAACAAAAAGGAATAAAAAATGGGGTCCACGGTGTTATGTATGTCTCCCCCATTAGAACCATACGCCCAAACTCCTGCCTACGCAGAAAAAAAAAAAGGGCTGTGAAAAGGGAGTCAATCCAAATCCTCCGTGGCCGCAAAGAAAAACAATCACACCACAAGAGAGGTGCGACAAGTAATGCAATCAGAAAAATATTTCTTCATCAAAGGACTTGTTTACACGAATCCCCGACAATCCTGCGTGTTCCGCATCCACAGACGGTCGTCCCTCGGGCGCAGGAGTCGATTGTGCTGCAGCGATGGTGCTGGGACACTTTTTAAGGTAATAGTTCAGTAACGTGTGCTGCGCCGCCTCATTCATGGCCTCCATGAGAGACTCGCCTTTGCCCTGGCCAATGCACCGCCTTCCCGCGTACAAGCGGCACACCGTATACTCCACCTGTCTAAACTGCTGATGGGCGTACAGTGAGGCATATGGATTGGTTTCATGCACCTCTGTGACGCTTCGAACCACCTGATCCACGTCGATCGGCGCCGAAGACAACGCCTTTGGCACATTTGGATCGTAACGAAGAATAATTTGGGCCTCCTTAAGAGCATTTTGTGGGCGTATGCAATGTAACACTGCCGGTGGTGCCATCTTGTGGTGTCGCGTGATGCGGTAATCATCAAAGATGTCGTCGCGAAGACTCTGTGTCGCATGTGCCCCACCGCTCGATGCAAACTGATCCCGGCGAGCATCCGCACGGGTATTTAGCGGATGGGTTTGTTCAGATAGCACCTCCAGTTCATCCTCCGTCATATGTCGAAGCTTTTCCAGTTCCTGCTTGATACGTGTTGCCAATATCTGCCGCTCACATACCTCCGTAGAATCCGGTGTAGACGGGTACACCTCCCCTTCAGTTGTTGTTGGCTGCAGAAGCGCCTCCGCCGTTCGTTGGGCGGTGTCTAGTACCTGAGAGACATGCAGGAAGGATCCCAATTGGCTACAAAACAACTTTTTAATCAGTGGCTGCAGTCGAACGCTGTCACCCGACTGTTCAGCCATTTCAATAAATGCAATAAAGGCAAATATGGAGCCTCGAATCCATTCCATGCGTGGCAGCAAATCCTCCTGGTGTACAGGAAAGAGTTTAAGACGTCCAGAGGCGGATCGAAGAACCCCCTTCCAATACCATCGTCGCTGCTGTGGCACGCCCTTCTCAATGCGCTGCAAATGCGCTGCTGCCTTGCGACGCGCAATGTTAAAGCGCTCCGTCAGTACATTCAGCTCTCGCCACATACTTATTTCTCCACTCACATTACACGTGTCTGCAAACCCCAGACGAAGCGCCACACGTCCACACGCCAAAAGCCCACAGCACTCGTGAAGGAGAGCCTGAAGATGTTTTGAGCGAAGCCGAGGAAACGCCTCTTGAGCCATACTCGCAATGCAGGTTTCAACAAGAGCCTTCCCCCGATTTGCAAGAAGGCCGTGAACAGGAGAATCTAGTGGGGTGTGGTCTAGCATGCGCCAAACGGTGTCGATGTCCCGCACTGTTAGTCCTCCACAGGCTCCAGTGGTCTGCTCGCCACATCGTGACATCTCCCGCGCCGCCGAAAGACCAATGACGCAAAAAGGAGAGCCCTGTTCACAACCCTCTGTTTCCTGTGGACCTCCCATCCCTGACGCTGTGGAGGACGATGATGCCGGTGACACCTTTGCCCCTTTTAGCAGCTCCTCCAAAGGCCGCAGATACTTCGGTGTTAGAGACACGGACTCCGAAAACAGCCCATCCTTCTCACATACTTCAAGCATGAGACGAAAGGCATCCCCCACACTGCGTTCTGCAGGCACAGTCGCGAGTACAATGGATCCGCGCCGCTCCACCACCTTTCGTAGGCGTCGCTGGTCCTTGTACTTCTCATATGCGGGATTGGTGGAACGCAACGAGCTGTGCACATCGCTTGGGTTCACCGGCATCACTAGACGTCGCGGACGAAAACGTGGACGGTACCCCGCACCACCCGCTCGGGTGTTAGCCTTGTCGCGCAGGACAGCCAAGCATCGCAGCATCGTGCTAACGCATAAAAACAAAGAAAAAAAAACATACAAAAATGTGTCGCAGCGGAGGCACTAATAGTATACATGCAGAAAACGACTGTAGAGGGAGAGAAGGAGGGAGGGGGCGGGGGATTTAACAAAAAACAAAACAACAACAACAACAAAGGCGATCCACCTCACTCTATTATCTGGCCTTTCTTGAAGCCAACGGTGTAGCCCCATAATGCGTGGATGTTTTTTGTAGTGTTGGTTTTCTTTACGGCTTAGTTTTCAGCCGCGACTTTTCTTGTATGAGGCGGCACTGTTTCTCCGCCGCCATGCGTGCCTTCTCAGCCTTCTGCAACTCGCGTTTTGCGGCTGCGAGGGCGGTGCGCCACCCCGCCAGCTCCTTGTCAAACTTCAGCCGAAGTTCGTTCGCCTCCTTCTTTTCGGCCTCCAACTGTGCTATCCGCGCCTCGGCCTGCTCCCGCTGCTGTGCCGCCGACTTCTCCGCGTCCTCTACAGAGTAACCCTCAGAGAAGTCACGCAGCTGCGTGCTGTACATGTCGAGTTGGCGCCGCAGCCCCATCACACCTTCCTCCGTCGCCAGTCGCTCCCGCCGCGTGAGGGCCAGTTGCTCCTCGAGCATTCCCACCTCCCGTGTGACCTGTTGAAAGCTGCGCATCAGCTCCTCCAAGTAACTTTCGCGGGCCTTCCAGTTTGACTGGTGGGACTCGTAGGCTTCATCGAACTGCTTCTTCTTCTGCCTTACCTCCTCACGGAGACGCTCATTTTCCGCTATCAGTTCGGCAACGTTCTTTTTGCGCTCATCACACTTGACGCGGATATCGTGCACGTTCTGCTCTACTTTTTGCTTCACGCTTTCACGATGCTCCTCCATCTCTTTTTTTGCCTCCTCCGTGAGCCGCGCCCGTTGCTTCATTGCGGTCTGCAGAAATTTACATATTCGCTCTGCTTCTGCCTTTGTTTCAATCGCCCGCCGGATATCTCCTTGCAGCTCATCCACCTCCTTGTTTGCGGCTGTGACTTTCTTCTTGACGGTGGCCAGCTCCGACTCCTTCCTCTTAACCTTCTGAATCTCCGACTGCAGCACACTCTGCACATAAGATTCCCCCTCATCGGAAAGGAGAGCACGCACAAAGGCCCTAGCTTCCGCCTCCGTATTTTGCTTCTCTTGCATCTGCCGCAGCGCGTCGACAACGCCTTCCACCGGTTGAACCCTGGTGGTCGGCAGGCCATCTTCCTCCCCCCGCTTTCCAAAGGCCACCGCCGTTGTGGGGGTGGTGACGTTTGCCGCCCCCTCATGTGCGGCGTCCACCCCCTCTGTCTCATTGCCGCAGTGATTCATCTCCACGTGCGATGCACGCACTGTTCCCTGCCGCAGTTGAGTTTGTTTGTTTTTTTCCTTCTTGTTTTCTTATATTCTTTTTTTTTTTACTTCTCTCCGTCTAACGCCGAGACTACCCCCAGATGAGTCCCGCCCTCCGCTGCCAGGCACACACGCAAAATGTCCACAGACAACAGCAACCATCCGTAAGACAAAAAAGAAACACAAAACAAAAACAGAAATGGACGAAAAAAGCAAAAAAGATCTTGTTGTAAGCGCAGGTAAAATATTGCGAGGGACCAGACTCCCTCCCTTCCCCGCCGCCATGCAGCCGATCTGGAAAGGCAACGAAAGGAAATCCATCCAAGTGTCACACCTCCACGGTGTTTTATTCTTCCTATTTGCTTGTGTGTGTCGTGGGTGTTCCACCTCCAGTTCCCCCCCCCCCCCCATAATAACGACCGCCTCCCCTCATACTGTAAACCAGTACCGCTACAAAATAGACCCGATACCCCTTTTCCCTGTTGGCACCGTCCGCTCACTGTAAAACACAACAATCCAGATGATTAACGCCTTCGGCAGCAGCATGGCAGCCAAATGCACCGCCAATCCAAACAAAAAGTCCAATGATCGAAAATGTGTCATGCAGAACCAGGCATCCAGGTAGGTGAGGAAGCCACGAATGTATCCAATTCGCCTCCGACGCAGTGCCTCAGTCACCAATAAATAACTTTTCCATTGCAATGCAATATGTGGCTGTGCTGTCACAGCGCATAGTAGCAGTTGTACACAGCTCGCCAATCAAAGGGAGTCATATTGAGATACACCCGCATAAGCGAATTGTAGGTTGTGGTTGTCACATGTCTCCCATGTCGTTCCCGTGAAATGTGATCAAACACTTCCACCGCTTTCTCCCACTTTGGTGGGTTTTCCATCGCAAGCGATGTGAAGTGCAGCTCGTAGTTTCGCGTGTTCGGCAAATCACCACACGTTACCGCCGCATGCTCGTGACTCGGATGACTCCAAGAGCTAACACCTACGCCACGCTCATGCATATGTGCCTACAGCGTGAGATGCCAGAGGCTTGCCAGAAGATGTTTGAAGAGATGGTAGAGGTCCATGCAAGCCCGCAACTGTACCCCGTCCAGTAGTTTCGCCAGGTGTACTTCATTTTTTTTGGCGTCAACACGAAGCCCACCCGCCTCCGCCCACCCCGCACTCCCGCAAGCGCCAACGCGTGATCTTTTGGCTGCAGCTGCTCCAAATAGCGACAGAGTTGGGCGTTACTGGCGATGCGGGCCAAAACAGGCAATTGAAACGACTTCCCAACCTACTCTAGCGTGGTGGCCTCCACGAGCGGCCTACCTATCATCGCAGCCCGCGAGTCCCTGGAGCGCCTCCGCAATTCCGATGGCATCGCTGGTTTCACATGTGACGCCTACGCAGCACATGTAAACTGCGCACCTCTTCCCGCCGCAATTACTGAAGGAGGTGGCAAGCGCAAATCCGCGTCGTGTGAAATAAAGGAGCCCCGGGCCGCAAGAACAAGTCGTGTAACCAGCGGCCTGCAACTCCTAACGCTAAGCACCCGCATCCCACTGCAAACGCAACGCACAACATGCGGTGGTGCACGAGAAAATACAGCAGTCATCTCTGCCTCTTCTCGAAGGTCAGACAGCTCCTTCAACAGACATAAAAAAAGGCCAGCAATAAAAAAAAAAAAACACTCACAAAGACAGACACACACAGAAAAAAAAAATATTGAACATACAGAGACATGTACAGTTCGCACGCAAACAATGTCACCACACACGCACACGCATACCCCCTCACCCAGCTGGCAATTAACCCATTAATTAGGTACCACAAATAATAGTAATAATAAATCTTTCATCGCATAGCTCCTTGGCCTCTGTGGAGAAGTCACGCACGGTGCAGCTTATCCCTGCAGCACACCGAGCAGGGAGTCCTCGTTGTAGAGGAAGAACTCCTCACCCTCCACCTTCACACTGCTGCCACCAAACTCGGGAAGCAGCACCGTGTCGTTCACCTTCACTGTGGGAGTCCAGTCCTTCGTTGCGGCGGCGACGGCAACCACAGTGCCCTCGTTCACCTTGCCGGCCACCTGCTCGGGGATGAGCACGCCAGCCTTCGTTTGCTTCGC